GGGGGGGGGGGGAGTTTTATTTGGAAAGGATGGTAATGGTGGAACAGGGCCTTGATTGACTAGGAGTTTGGTGGGGAAATGCAATTGTTTTAAATAATCTAGTTTATCATGTCATTTGCTCTTCCCTTTTCACAAAAGGCAAACCTATGCCTTTAAAAGTGCTTATTATATTTAGCCACAAAATCAGTTTTTGATTCATTGATAGTAAGAAATGAGTGATAAGAATTTTGGATCACTGTGGATCTGTTAGAAAGTAAAAAATTGTCACTGCCATTTCAGTGACAGCAGAGGATTTGCACACTGCCTATTCTAATCAAAGGAGCAGGTTCATTATCATTAGAATAATTGCACCAAAATATAAATTCCTGTATAATCCTCTTTAGTTCCTTCAAACAGGAGATGTGGAATGTTTTCTGTATGTCAGGTAGAAAGAATACAAAGTGCTCTTTTCCTGGGGACTGTTAATAGACTAGTGGAGAAGACCTAAGCATGAATATGATCTGGAAGCGATTTAAGAGGAAAATTTTATGTGAGCATTGAGAGCAAGTGTCAAAATCAGCCTATGACTAAAGGAGAGATTTCCTCGATGAAGCAGTATTTTAGGTCAGAATTGATTATTCAGGGCTTATTGGGGAATACCCTGATTAGGTTTATGGTATATTCAGAGGCAAGGAGGAGTTCTAGAGAATGACTATTTCCAGACTACAAATTTTGGCTGGAGCCAAAGGATGAGTGTAGTAGATAGAGTTTAGAGGTATTGGCAGGAACTTTCTGTATAAGCCAATTCGAACTTTTTCCTGAAAGCCAAAGAGATCTGTTCAATAATTTTTGGCAGAGGAGCAGCATGATCACATTTCACATGATTACTTTAGTAGCAGGATCCAGCTTTGGTGTAGTGGTGAGACTAGTGAAGAGGTCAATCACTGATGTGTCAGAGAAAAAAAAATGGTTAGAACCTGAACCAAGGTAATGATAGTAGGAATGGACAGAAGAGATTCCTGACATTTTAAGGAAACCCATGTAAGATTTCGTGATGTCCCATAGTTAAGTGTATGTATGTGAATGTGGAATACATGGAACTAAAGCTATGAGTATGGATGGTAGCCACTGAGGGAGGTCTGTAAGTTGGAAGATAGCAGAGGACCTAGATACGACAAAGTGCTAGAGGCTATGTATTTAAATCTGGAGTAGAGAAAAGTGCAGCTTGAGAAGGAATGGACAGGATAGGGAGAAAACCAGGATAGAGTGTGACATGGAAGCTGAGAAGAAATACAAGGAGACAGTAGTCAGCAGTGTTAATGGCCTTAGAGTGGTCAGATGCAATATTTTAAAAAGCAAGTAAACATAAATTAAGAACATTAAAGTTGAGCCGGTATTCAAAGTAAGGTTTAAGAAGAAGGTACCGTGCTCGCTCCGGCCGCACATATACTAAAATTAAGAAGGCACAGACTGGCATAGTAGTAAGGTATTTCTTTTGGTGTTTTCATTTGTAATCTTCAAAGGCTCTTTGAATTTTTTTTTTTTCAACGTTTTATTTATTTTTGGAACAGAGAGAGACAGAGCATGAACGGGGAAGGGGCAGAGAGAGAGGGAGACACAGAATCGGAAGCAGGCTCCAGGCTCTGAGCCATCAGCCCAGAGCCCGACGCGGGGCCCGAACTCACGGACCGCGAAATCGTGACCTGGCTGAAGTCGGACGCTCAACCGACTGCGCCACCCAGGCGCCCCTTCAAAGGCTCTTTGAACCAAACCTCTCTTCTTTCCTGTTTTGAATGGTCAAGGGAATAACGTTTGTGCATGGTTAGAAAGTAAGCTTCATTGTGGTGAAAATTACATATAATACGTTGATGCCTTGCCATACTCTTGAAGTTGGAAATCTAATGTTTGTTTTTGTGCATCTCTGTAAGGAGGCATCTCTAAAACTGAGATAAGGGGAGCTTAGATGGCTCAGTTGGTTAAGCATTTGACTTTGGCTCAGGTCATGATCTTGCAGTTTGTGGGTTTGAGCCATGCATCAGAGAGGCTCTCTCTCAAAATAAATAAACTTATAAAAAATGATAATATAGGGGCACCTGGTGGTTTAGTGGGTTAAGTGTCTGACTCTTGATTTTGGCTCAGGTCACTGTCTCATGGTTCGTGGGCTCCAGTCCCGCGCTGGGCTCTGTGCTGACAGTGAGGAGCCTGCTTGGGATTCTCTCTCCCACTCCCTGCCCCTCCCCTGCTGTCTTTCCCCTCAAAATAAATAAACTTTTAAAAAATGAGTTAATGTATCAGCTTTTACTTCTCATTAAGCACATACTTGTATGATTCCTTATTGACCTGCTTTGTATTGTCCAGTTCCTGAATTTTCAGTTTATATTTCTCATAATTTTAACAACTTTATTTTGTTTGAGCAGTCATACTCTAAATATATACTTTAAACTTTTCTTCTTTCCTACAGACTTATTATAATTCTGAAAGGTAGACTTGTATAGGTTTTTGCTGACTTAATGAATGCTGCTGTAAACCATCTTTTTTCTTTATTTTTTTAAAGATTTTATTTTTAGGTAATCTCTCTACCCACCATGGGGCTTGAATTTACAACCCCCAAGATCAATAGTCACATGCTCTACCAACTGTATTTATAAAATGACATAATTAGAAAACAACTATGCTATTTAATTATGTAACAGAAGATTGACTTAATTTAAAGTCCTGAAGACTAACTTAAAATGTGTGATTTTTTTTTTAGTTTAAGTTGTTATGGGGAATGATT